GGAATTGACTTGGCAACTGATTGGCAGCAAGAGAGGAGGGAGAGGAAGAGCTGAGGATGACTGAGGATTCAAACCTGGGTGACTGGAAGATAGAGCTCTTCACAGAAACAGGCATGCTAGAGAGGCAAAGTTTTAGGGAAAAGCTGAATTCTGTTTTGAACAGGAAAGAAATTTTACCAAGTGCCTATTACATGCAAAACACTATGCCAAGCACGGGGGATACAGATAGAGAAGTAAAAGACAGAGCTCACATTCTAGTGGTGGAGACAACACAGTACTGAGTTAAATATGGCTCCACTGAAAAACACATAAAACATCTCCTTCATCTCATGAAATCTTTCTCCAAATATATCAAAATGTCATTTGGACTTGACATATGTAAAGATTTTAACGTAATCGAAGGAAAGATAGAGACTGAAGACTGCAGGCTTGAATCTGGAGGTCACATTGAACTTGTTTAAAGAGATACCTACAAATGAATTGGTCTCCTCTGGGCAAGACTCATCGAGCCTAATAAAGATATCAAAGAGAAGGCTGGGCTGAAGACATTAAGAGACTTACTGGCACCCAGAAATCAAAGTTGAATGGGAAGACATTTAAAGCAATAAACACCTATGTAATGCCAGACTACAGAGTATACTTTCAGAATTGTAAAGTAGACCATAACAGAATCAGAAATTATCCTAGCAAAATCCTGTACAATTATTAACAAACACAAGAGCTGTCACACCTATAGGAAGATTAGCACTTCTGAAAAAGGAGGAAGAAGACTGATTGACTTTCTAAAATCACATGATAAAAGGTAAAAAAAAAACTACAGAAATACTTTTTGCAACAAGCAGACATTCTTTTACTGAGCAACAGTAGAAGCAGACAATAACTACAAACCACTGGCTTTCTTTGGATAAAACCAAAAGTTGTTGATAAAGCCTAAGAAATGGCTAAAATCTAAGAATGAATAAAAAAAATAGGGTGGGCAACATCTGTGTGAATCCAATCAAGGATATGAGAACAAAGGAATTTCAAGTAAACATCTGAGTCATGTACATTTATTTGTAGGAATGGAAGAATGTTGATGGCAAATCAGAATCAGGTCATTACCACTGGGAAAAACAGAAGAATTTTCCTTAAGGGGTCCAGACTTACTCATGTATAACTCCCACTGGGTTATTCCCCCACCCCTAACTCATACTTGCATTTTGAATTCCTGGGGGAGAGCTACCATTGATTAAAGATATTTTGTGGGTCCACACTCCTAAAAATATAGCTCAGATATGCCCACCAGCATGATTACCCTTAAGCCAAGAAACACAAAGCAAAAGGTGACAAAACATAACCTTGTAAATCTACAGCCTACTCTGCTACTATGTCCCCAGTGTCACCACAGTGTCCTATAGTCTCCACAATATCAGTGGGAAGAGTGGCCACATATAGAGAATATATATACAACCGTAGAGAGGCATACACACATGAAACACAAGTGACCAAGGCAGTTTACACTTCCTGCATTTCAAGGCTCCCTTTTCTTTTCTTGGAGAGTCCTTATTCTGCTACCCCACCAATCACAATGTCTCTCCTGGATAATTTGCTCAGTTAGATTTCCTAGGCCTGTTTACCTCTGGAAACTCAACTCCCTACTGCCACGGCTAACTATCTCTTGAATCCACAGTAGACTCTCTTCTCTACTTCCAGAGGTCACATCACACACACTCCTCAAAGCTGCCTTTAAAGACTGCTTAAAGATTGTTTCAATTTTTAAAAGGGTTACCAGGAACATAGCTAATCTTATGGACTGAGTGGCTTTAAAAAAAAATTAACACAACTGTTGGTGATATATAGCACACAGAAGAATATTGCATCCACATGAAACAACAGGGGTGTTTTATTGTTCTTTAGTTGTTTTTCAGTCATGTCCAATTCTTCATGATTCCATATGGCAAAGATACTGCAGTGGTTTTCCATTTCCTTCTCCAGTACATTTTACAGATGAGGAAACCGAGGCAAACAGGGTTAAGTGCCTTGAACAGGGTCACAAAGCTAATAAGTATCTAAGGCTAGATTTGAACTCAAGAAGAAGAGTCTTCCTGACTCCAGGCCTAGCACTCTATCCACTGAGCCATCTAGCTGCCCTCACAGGCAAGTGTAGACTGACAACATAGTGGCATGTAAAAACACTTTCCTAGCTTGCATGGGTTTCGTTGATTGAATTTTGGTTCCCATAAAATAAACCTAGGATCAGTTTAAAATTTGCACAAAACTGAATTTCGCATTATTTGAACTCGAGTTAAATATGACTTAGCTGTACAGACAACTCCACAGCAATTACTCAAGGGAAACTGTAGGGCAGAAAAAGGATAAGGATTGTTAAAGGTCAACAGTCTCTGTGGCCTCAGCCAAGCAATGCTGGGCTAACAGTTACCTGTGCTAGAATCATCATCATCATCAAAAAAAAGCATGATATGTTATAGAGTATTGTAGTTAATAACAACATTGATAATAATACTTGACATTTATATAATACTTTAAGGTATTCAGTTCACCCTTTTTTCAGTTGTGTCTGACTCTTCGTGATTCCATTTGGGGTGTACTTGGCAAAGATATTGGAATGGGTTGCCATTTCCTTCTCTAGTTCATTTTACAGATGAGGAAACTGAGGCAAACAGGGTTACATGACTTGCACAGGGTCACACAACTAGTAAGTGTCTAAGGCTAGATCTGAACACAGGAAGAAGAGTCTTCCTGACTCCAGACCCAGCATTCTAGCCACTATACCACCTAGCTGCTCCTACTTTAAGGTATACAAAGCATTATTCTGACTTGGAATCAAGAGATTCTTAATGAAGACTTGGAATGGTTTCACCTGGGGCAAAAACAGTTGAGGAGACTTGATGGGGGACAATATGAAATATAGCCCAATTGAAGAAGCAGTCCATCTCTCACCCTGCCCTGAGGGATTGGGGGCATGCAAGCCCTGCTAGAGGGTGCCACAGTGGTGAGATGCTGAGGGTGGTTGCACTACATGGCCAACATGTATCAGCAGAGGAACTTTAGGTGAAGCACAGGGATGATGGTCACTACAAGGAAGAATCTTGCCTTCCTGGGGAAGAAGCATACTCCCATCAGATTTCAGTGTCCTGGGGCAAAGCCCCACTCACTTCATGTTAGTTATATCTCTGTGTTATATATCTTTTATCTCTGTGATCATGGGCAAATCATTTCACCTATCTTAGGCTCAGTTTCCTCATTGGCTAAATGGGAATGATGATATATACTCTATCTACCTCTATCTGCCTTGTAAACCTTGAAACATTAGAGTGTTTTTATTATTAATATCTTCAGGAAAGAATCCTTTTCTCACTCTCCTGAAAAGGGCGGATGATTGCATTCTATCCCCGGGCAAGCAACCAAACTGACATCAATATTTCTTTTGTTTTGCATGGACAAATCCTGTCCCGTATTGGAGTTCTATCATTTTTGTCCTTATATATCACCTCATCTGTTCCAAACCGCTAACAAACTGATGCCTTTTGTATCAAAGCTTCATTATCATCGGAGAAGAAATGAGTCTTCCCATTTTTTGTACTACTGCCAGCAAAGGTCATGTTAGTTCACTCCTTCTTGCTGGAATTCACAGTCATTGGTATTTTATAGATCATAGAATCATAAATTTAGAGCTAGGAGGGATGTTAGATGCATCTATTCCACTCTTTAGATGCATCTATGCCATGGGGCAGATACTAGTGGCACAGTGGCTAGAGCACTGGACCTCAAGTCAGGAAGACTTATCTCCATGAGTTCAAATCCAGCCTCAGACACGTACTAGGTGTATGACCCTGGGCAAGTCACTTAAGCTGGTTTGTCTTTGTTTCTTCATCTCTAAAATGAGCTGGAGAAGGAAATGGCAAACCAGTCCACTATCTTTGCCAAGAAAATCTCATTATTGAAAAAGGACTCGAACACAAACTACATTCCACTCTCATCATTTTACAGATAAGGAAACTGAGACCCAGAGAAGTTTAATGACTGACCCAATGTTACTCAGGGAGTACATGAAAGAGCTAGAACGTGCTAAGTCCTCTGACTAGAAACGCATTAATCTTTCCTCTACATCATTTTTCTATCTAATACAACAACAAGTTTCCAGATGGATGTGATGTCTGTCCCTGCTCAACTCCAGGACACTACTAGATGGTATAATAGATAGAGGCAAACAGAAATGATGTGACTGGCCCAGGGTTACACAGCTCGTAAGTGCCTGAGGCTGGATTTGAACTCACCTTCTTGACTCCAAGCCCAGAACACTGTGTTACCTATCTAGGAAGGAAGGTTAACTCTAGTTCAAAAAAAGAAAGATGACCAAATCAAAGACAAAAAAATCTATAAACAAAACTCTGCAGTCTTAATCATCTATATGACACAGTTTGTACCCATATTTTCCCAACTTCACTAGGAAGAAGAGCAGAAGCTTTCCTCCACCTGTCTCTCAGAAACTTTAATATCTTTATATACCATAATCATACCATAATCAGTATCTTCACCAGAATATTATTTTTTTCATCTCCTTATGCTTCCAGATCTCTTTTGGAAACTAGGAATTTCAATGATTGATAATGCTCACAAAAGACATATGTTCGGTTGTATGCAAAGAAAAACAAATACATTTTTCCTTGGACTTCCTTCAATACTGTGGCAAGAACTCCCACCATTTGTTCAAGATTAATAAACTGCAAAAGGAATCCTGAGTGATTTTATTCAGATTTAGGCAATCTTAAATTTCCATGCATAGTCACTGATATAAACCCACTGCTCAAACTCCAAAGAATCTCAATTTACCCAGCTGAAAAAGAACAACCCATGTGATGGTTCCCCTAGCCAACCAATCCCCAGTGTTGTTATTTCATGTACAACACACACACATACACACATGCCCCTGAGTAAGTGCTTCAGAGAAATAAAGTACACAGACTTTTCACAGGTGAATAACATAAGGTATTAATTACCTTAAAGGTCCTCGGGGAGGAAAAAAGTCCCTTCTTATGGGTCTTTTCCAAATTCTTGAGGTGTAAGAGGGCAGTTTCTCTTTCTCAGATTTCTTTAATTCCAAGGATTATTTCTAAACATTTTTATGCTATGTAGGCTGCTTTTGCAGATGACTGCTTCTAGTCTGGAATTGCCAGTCATTTGTCTCGCGCCACTCCATGTGCTCTCCAGCCTCCTCTTCCTGTTGTCCTAGGGCACCTGGCTAATGCCAAAGTGGAGAGTCATCTTCCTACCCAGCCAGTCCCTTTCCAACCGGTTCTTTCAGTCTTTGCCCCAGTTGGCTTTCAACCTAAGCAGAAGCCACACCCTCTCTGGATGAGCCTGGAAGGCTCTCTTGAACTGAATTAAAAAACAAGTTACCTGCCTAAGGTTCTAACCTTGCTGTGTATTGGGTGCTATGTGATTCAAAAACGTTAAATAGAACTTTGGAATAGATGCTAGCTTCAGGTGAGCTTGTAGTTGCATGCCTGCCCATCCTGCCATGTTGGGAAACAGGCAGAGGTTACAGAGTAGGATGTGAGATCAATACATCCTCCTAGAGGTTATTAACTTCTTTTCTCATATATTTTATTTTATATCTTGGCAATGCCAAAAAGTCATAAAAAATATGGATCATATCATCTCATATCATGTCATTTTTTAAGGTTTGCAAAATATTTTTAAATTTTAAAATATGTCTTTATCAATGTCATCTGTTTCTTACATCATTGGTTATGCTGTGTATGCTTCCCTTTTGCCTGCAGAGAGACATCTCATATAACAAATAGTATTTTATTAAAGAGGGGGAAAAAAAATCAGCACAACTGGTCAATACACTGAAAAAGTCTGAAAACGTGCAGTATGTAACACCTGTGGACCTCCCATCTCTACGAAGGGATGGATTAGGGGTGTTTTTTCGTACCTCTTCATTTGAGTCCTTTGTGAGCTTTACAATTTTGTTATAGTCATTTTTTATTTTTTTAGCGTGTGGTTGAACTTTCCAGTTACACTGTTGTAGTTATTATGAATATTGCTTTCTTGGCTCTGCTTACTTTACTCTGCATCAGTTCATGTATATCTTTCCATGCTTCTCTGTATCTATCACACATCATTTCTTACACCATAGCTGTACTACATTTTGTTTAGCTATTCCCCAGTCAATGGGCATCTCTATTACTTCCAATTCTTTGTTGTCACAAAAAATGCTGCTATAATTATTTCGGTGTACATGGTGATTTTCTTCCTATCAGTGATCTTCTTGGGGTAGAAGCCCAGTAAAGGGATCTTTGGGTCAAAGTGTTAGACATTTTAGTCACTTTATTTGCATAATTCCAAATTGCTTTCCAAAATGGTTATACCATTTTATCATCCCACAACCCTTAAATATTGCATTTTTTGTCATCTTTACCAATTTTCAGGGTGTGAGGTGAAACCTCAGGGCCTGTTTTGATTTGTATTTCTCTCAATATTAGTGATTTGGAGCATTTTTTTTTCATGTAATTGTGAATACTTTGCAGTTCTATTGAGAACTGTCTGTTCATATCCTTTGACCACTTATCTTTTGGAGAATGGTTATTAATTACACACACATGCACACACACACACATATACACATACACACACACACACACACTGTTTCTGTCTCTTGGATGTCAAAACCTTATTACAGAAATTCGATGCAAAGATTTTTTTTCCTATTACATCACTTCCCTCATTATCCTTGGCACATTTATCTGTGTGAAACCTTTTCTGTTTCATGTAAAAAAAAATTATGTATTTTTATCTTTTCTTATTGCCTCTGTCTCTTCTTTGATTAAGACTACTTCTCCTACCCTTAGCTGTAAGAGGTATATGATCTGCTCCTCTTCTGATTTTTTTTTATAATCTGATCACTAGTATCAAGGTAATGTATCCATTTAGAATATATTGTGGAACAATAATCCAAGACAATTCTAAAGGACTCATGATGAAAAATGCTCTTCATCTCCAGAGAAAGGACTGATAGAATCTGAATGCAGATCGAAGCATACTGTTTTTCACTTTATTTTTTCCCCATTTGAGTCTCTGTCTTCTTTCACAACATGACTAATACAGAAATACGTTTTGCATGACTGAACATGTATAACCTATATCAAATTGCTTACGATCTCAGAAAGGGGGGAGATGAAAGAAGGAGGGAGAAAATTTGGAATTCTAAAAAAAGAATGTTAAAATTGTCTTTACATGTAATTGGGGAAAAATAAAATATTATTTTAAAAAATAAAATATATTGTAGAGTGTGGTATAAGATGTTGATCTAGGCTTAAAGTGGAAAGCCAGACTGCTTTCCAGTCTTCCTAGCAGTTTTTATCCAATAAGGAGCTTTATTTTTCCCTTAGATAATTTATGTTTTCTACTTTATCAAACACTGGGTTACCGATTTCAATTGTTTCTGATTCTCCTTTGTCTGATCTGTTCTATCGATCTACTTTTCTAACCTATACCAAATGGTTTTGATGATTGTGGCTTTATAATAGTTTGAGTTCTGGAAGGGCTATTCCTCCCTCATCTCTATTTCTTTTTGCCATTCTCTTGATAGGCTACATTAAAAAAAATTTCCAAATGAATTTTATTATTATTTTATCAAGTTCTATAAAGTATCCCTTGTAATTTTATTGGTAAAGCATTAAAACCGCAAGTTAATTTTGGAAGTGTTTCATTTTCATTATATTGGCACAGCCTCACCATGAGCACTGAATATTCTTCCAGCTATGTAAGTTGTCTTTATTTCTTTAAGAAGTACTTTCTAATTGAATCTATACAAGTCTTTTGTGGGCTTTGGGAAGTTGACCCGCAGATATGTTATGCATTTTTGTAGTTATTTGGAGTGGGATTTCCCTTTCTATTTTTGCTTCTTGGGTTTTGTTATCGTCATCATCATTATTATTATTATTATTTAGAAATGCTGTTGATTTTGAAGGGTTTATTTTGTAACCTGCAACTTTGCTGAAGCTATTAATTGCTTCAATTATTATCTTCACTGATTCCTTAGGATTTTCCAAGTATACTACCATATAATTAGCTAATAGGATAATTTTATCTCCTTTCTGCCTACCTATATTTTCAGTTTCTTTCTCTTGTCGTTACTGTTGCTAGCATTTCCAGAACTGTATCAAATAATAGTGAAGAGAGTGGGCATCCTTGCTTCACTTTCACACTTATTAGGAAGGGTTCTAATGTATACCTATTATATATTATGCTTGCTTTAGGTTTTAGATAGATTCTTTTATGATATTAAAAAAGTCCTTCTTTGCCTTCACTTTGTAGGATTTTTTTAGTACAAAAAAGAGATGCACTTTGTCAAAGGTTTTTTTCTACATCTATTGAGACAATATTTTGGTTTTTGTTTTGATTGTTTGTTGATTGTTTTCCCAATGTTAAACCATACTTGCAGCCCTGGTATAATTCCTACTTGGTCATAATGAATGATTTTGTGGATAAATTATTGTAGTCTATTTGGTAGGATTGTCTAAAATTTTTGAGTTAATATTCATTAATGATATGGGCCTATACTTTTCTTTCTGTATTTTAGCTGTCCCTGGCTTAGGTATTAGGACAATATTTTTTTCATAAGAAATATATATTCTTGTAGGGTGCATTCTTTCTCACTTTTAGAGAATAATTTGTAAAAAATTGGTCCTAGTTTCGTATGGTTTCAATTCCATATCCTGAGGGCAAGAAATATACTAGAATTCTGAAATCCAAGAGAATTTGTGCTTTCATGGAACAGCTAGGTGGTGCAGTGGATAGAATGCTAGGCCTGGAGTCAAGAAGACTCTTCTTCATGAGTTCAAACCTAACCTCAGACACTTACTAGCTATAAGACTCTGGGCAAGTCACTTAGCCCCATTTGCCTCAGTTTCCTCATCTGCAAAATGAGCTGAAGAAGGAAATGACAAACCAGTATCTTTGCCAAGAAAACCCCAAATGAGGTCACAAAGAATTGGATGTTACAGAAACAACTGAAAAACAACAAGAACAACATATTTCTGGCTAGTGCTAAAAGAACTGGGAGTGAAATGCACACTCGCATCAGCTTCCATTTATGACTATAGAATAAATATTTGCTCAAAAAAGCTGTTGGAGGATTGAGCAAATCTTAAAGCTCTAGACTTTGAGAAAAATTGGAAGTTCACTCCTGTGGTTTCTGTGTCCCTGAGATCACCGATGGTGAATATATAATTCTTCACTGAAAGGATTACATGATCTGCTATTAAACTGTATTTTAGCTGAACTAGGCTCACAGCATCATGTAATTTCAGAGTTATAATGGACCTTGGAGATCATCTTCTTCCTCAAGATGAGGAAATTGAAGTCCAGAGAGATTCAAGTCCAAGGTCACTTCACTGAAGTTTCTTTAGTGTGGTTGCTTCTTCTTCTGACTCTGGCTGCTGTTGCCATCTATGACACATCTTCATGAGTTGCTACTGGGAAAAAATTCATCTACTAGACAAGCTTCTGGTAGTGAGCCTCTCTGATCCTCTATGAGGGTGGTTCTCAGATGGTTCTTAGGTTCCCCATCCTTCAAAAGGCTCATACATGAAGCATTTCTGGCTTGATAAGTCCTTCCAGACCCTGATCTCTGATGATAAAGACTTCCATTATGCAATGAGACAGCGGAGTAGGGCTTCAGGGGATGAGCACTATTTTCATAACCGATATGCTGACTCAGATGCCTACTTGTTTGTTTCTTTAAATCTTTAATAATTTATGCATGCGTTGAGGATACCCTTGATTAAAATAGGAAAAGGAAACAGGTATGCCAGTTAGTGGCACAGCTGTGTAGTCCCTATTACTGGGGAGGCTGAGTTTGGTAGATTGCTTGACTGAGGGAGTTCTGAGCTGTAAGAAGGCTAAAGTTTAAGTGGTCTTACTTAGTCCAGCACCGATATGAGAAGCCCCTGGCAATGGAAGTCCACCAGGCTGCCTAAAGAACTGCCCTGCCCATCAGCTGGGGGATTGGGCCACATGAGTGACCAATGCATTTCTAGGCTAGGGAGATTCAGCGAGAGATAGGGAGAGGCAGAGGGAGGAGAGGGAGAGGGAGAGGGAGGGAGAGAGAGAGAGAGAGAGGCAAAGCAAACTCTCATAGATAATTTTTTATATTAAATACCTGAGAAGGTAAGAGAATATAAGATTCAATTATGGCTACTATTTCTCGATTACAAAAAAGCATTTGACGCA